GGGCCTCACGGGGGAGCCCCCCCCGGGGTGCTGGGACCGGGAGGGGACTGACCCGGTGCGGGGCCGGGAGCCCAGCCCGGGGAGCCGGGACCGGGCGGGGACTGGACGAGGACCGGGACCGCCCCGGGGGACCGTGACCGCGCGGGGAGCCCACCCCGGGGTGCTGGGACGGGACTGCCCCGGGGGACCGCTCTGGGGGTGCCGGGCTGACACCCGCCCCCAGCCCGCCGGTACGGGGCAGCTCGGCTCCCCGATCCCCTCCCGGCCTCGTCCGGGAGCCCTGGAGCGCGGTCCGCCCCGGCACCCGAGCTGCTCCCCGGTACCGAGCTGGCTGCGAGGGGCCGCGCACCGACCCAGCCCCCGGGGCGGGGGGCACTGCACCCGCGGCCCCGGGGGATGCCCCAGCACCGGCCCCCGCTGACACGGAGCTTGCCCCCAGGAGACCAGCTTTTATCACCTGCACAGACCAAAACCACCGCAGGTGCCACCGAACAGCCGCTGTGCCTTGGGGTTTTCCACACCACGGTCCTTAATTGTTTGCCACCAGTTAAAGCCCTCTCTCTCTCTCTGCCCCTCTCTGTTGCCTCCTCATCTCTCAAACATTTTTGCAGCCAGTTGGAGGAGCTTATGACTCATGTGACCTTTCAAATAAGCCCTATAATATACTCACCTCTTAAATTAATAGTATTTTAAGGGCTACGGGTGAGACAGGAAAGTATATGATTTACCTTATAGTGTGTACGTCCACAGTTCTCATTTGTATGCACTCACATATAAATACTAGTTATTTACTCCCAAAATGCAAACAGAAAATTATGAAGGTTACCAAAAACTCAGGTACTGAGAAATTAAGAAGTGTGAAAATTAAGTAGCCTCCTCAACCTTAAATCACCTTCTTTGTGCAGACTCATTAGGCAGGGCATGCCGATTGCAACGCTGCTGTATTTCTTCCCCAGCACCCTGCCACGCGCAGTGCACCTGCTGTACCGGCTGCCCAGCTGTGGGTCACCCTGGTTTATTCCCCTGCTTCGTTACGGGCCCTTTGCCTCGTTTACTGCCTCTGTTGAGAGCCCAGGCTCTCCCGGGTGCACCGCGCCAGTTCCTGCTGTTCCGGTGTTTCCACCCGGAGAGCTGCAGTGCCCGGTGTGCTGGGGGCCGCCAACATTCCCTGATGAGGGTGAGGATGGACACTCTGGGATTGTGGTCAGAAGCATCCACCCAAGCTGAATCACAGGGCTTTTTTCTGTGCATTTTTTGAGGAGAGGTTATAGTTGCCCGGTTTCTGTGACTGGCATTGGCAGTGGTGCATGGTCACAGGTCACACCTTGGTGTCACAGGCCGGACACCAAGATGAGCCCTGCGCAGCCGGAATGCTTCTCTGAGCGATCGGGTGGGTACCACGAAGGTAGCTCGGGGCAAGGTGCAGGGAGAGACGGTGCCTCTCCAGGACAGCTGCCTCAGCCTTGGCATTACGCTCCCTCGTCCTGCCACCTCCAGCACTCCCACCGCCTGTCACCCAGCTCCTGCAGCGCGTGGGGCAGAGCCTGACACCAGCACCCGGCCTGGCCCCCATCCTGCGCAGAGGCAGGCGTCCCGGGGAGGAGGCAGCAAAGATATCTCACACCTACAGCGAAGGGGCTGCAAATTGCATTCTGAGTGGGGGATTTTGCAGCCTTAATTGTGTTATTTTAACATAGTGTGTGTAGGTGTGTGCAGAGTGCACATGTACCGTTTCCTAGGCTTTTAACAAAGCAAGCTCAAACAGAATCAAAGTCCATGTCAGATCATGTTGGACCTTGTAGGGGTTGGTGGCAGGGCACCCCTCTTACCACCCCTCTTACCACTCATTGCATGGAGTAGCCAGTCCCAGGAGTGAGCCTGGAGCTCTGCCCAGAGCAGCCACCCCAAGGGTTTCTCTAAGATTTGCAGCCAACAAGAATCTGGGGACCTTGCCACCCTGCTTTGCAGCTCTGGCTTTGCAGCTCAGGCTCTGGAGGGCAGCGTGCTCTGGTGGTCACAGCCTGGCGCCCTGCCCTGTGCAGCCTGGGCTCCTCCAGCCCCGGCCCCCGTCACCCCTTGCTGTCCACTGCCTTATCCATCACCTTCTACCTGCTCACAGATCTGGACTCTTCTGAGTTTGGCAAAGTGGAAACAAATAACAGAAACCAGCTCATGCTGCAAAGATTGTACAACTTGTGCAAAAAAAAAAGCTGTCCTTGCAGGTAAAAATGTCCTAAACCGAGATCTGCTAGGCTTTGTCCTTCCAAATCCGGTGATGAAAGCTCTGCTGCATTTAAATTGGCAAAGTGACAGAAAGTAAGTAGTCAGAAATAATCCCTAGCTGGATTAGGTTTTTTCCTTGAAGGAAGAGAGGTTCTGATACAAGGCGAGTTTAGGTCATTAGCAATGCAGTGAGATGCTGAGCTCCAGCCTTGCCTAGTCCTCACTTCATTTCCCTGCTCCTGGGGGCTGCAAGGGGATAAGGACTCCAGAGCCTTTGGCACATGTGTTCATCCTTCCCCACTCCTACGAGGGGATTATTTATATCTGCACATGCTTTGGAAATGCTGGTTGCAATCTACTGGCTCTAACAGGACTCCAGTGGTGAGGCTGGTGTGTCCTTATGTGATGAGCTACTGAGATCAGGAAGGTTCTCCTAGATGTGACACGAGTGAGCAATGCCATACGTGCGAGCTCCTACAGTTGCCTACCAGCTCTGCAGCTCCCTGCTGGACTTCCGACAGTTCAGTAGCAATAAAAATAGCAGGGGAGAGAAACAGAAATCCATTCTTATTAAGCCTCTTTACTCTGGGAAGATGCAAAGGCAGTGCAGGAGTGGCCATGCATGGGCTAGCAAGCAGCACGCAGCCTCTTGGGAGACCCAGGTGAATGCGCTTACGGCAGCTGCATGCTAAAGGCCACCTTGCTTTGCCCACACTTCTGCTTTCACATGCACCAGCTGCATACACTGGCGTGCCTCACCATTGCATCTGCTTTTTTTTTCCTCTGCACCAATACCCCGGGTAGACAAAACAAGTTCAGGAGAGGGAAGGGGATGACAGGGGACAGCAAACGTCACGCAAGTGCCACAGGGTTCCCCCAGCTGCTCTGTGCTGGGTACGGGGTGCTGTGTGCAGTTCAGCAGTTCCCCATCCCAGCAGCCCTGCCGGGGACATCCCAATCCCAGGCTGCAGGAAGGAAGCCGAGGGAATCCCTTCCCCAAGGTCATACACAGACCAGCCTCTACATGGAGCATGACTGCATGGGATGGGAGGGAAAGGAGGGAGATTATCAAAGGGATTCTATGAGGCAGTGGTACCACAGAAGTAATAAAAGAACAAATAGCAGGAGATTAAAAGATATTTTGTAGTCTGAGTCCAACTGGACCATGCTGAACCACCATAAAAGGTTTGCTGCTGCTCTGACCCACTGCAATTTAATTGATTTGATTTAAATTCTTTGAAGAAGAAGTGGATAACGAATAATGAGGCAAACAGGATTGTAATGCAAATGAAAGAGATGAAAGATGGCTTTAGGGAGACGGCTCTTGAAGGTCAGAGTCTAACGCAAAGCTGCTTCTGGTCACTCATTCAAACATTAATGAGGCTGTGTTCCTCCTGATGTCTTTGATGGATGGAGGGATGGCTCGGGAGGCAAACGCTGTGCTGATGTCTGGCCTTTCTCCTCCTCGCTCCAAGCGCATCATCCCCTTGCAGCGGTGGTGAGGATTTTACCTGGCATGTTGTAGGGACTTGGGGTTTTGCTGCCCATCTTACACTGGGTAAGCAGACTTCTTAATAGGGTTCTTCCAGATACTCCGATGGAGACTCTAACTTCAGAATTAATTAACTTCACTATCAAAAGCTGAGTCATTTGTCACAATGGTTTTGTCATTAGCTCCCATAATTAAGGAAAGTGTCACAAAACCAAACGTTTCACTTACACAAGCCAGGGTAACTGAGGCTCAGAAGCATTTCTGACATGCTGGGAATGGGCACGTCAGCAAAGCTGGGGAGGAGCTTGACGGGCCACCCCGAAACCCTGTGCCGGGGCAGTGGGAGACCTTCCTGGCATGGCCCCACAGACCAACCCGTCCTGCAGCTTGCCCTGCCCCATGGCCGGGGGCTGTAGAGGAACAGTAACGGTGCCAGCAGCAGGACACAGACCAGGACTCTCCGGCCTGGAGGAGAGATGCTAGGGGTACGCGGGCAGCACCAGGACCGGTTGAGCCCTGCAGTTTTCCCATCCCCATGTGAAATGGGGTGGACCCCGGTGACCACCAGCCAAGCCAGGTGGGAGAGACGAGGACATCTTGCTGAAAGCTTAGCTGAAGTCCGCAAAGGGAGAAGGCAATGCCCTTCCTAACATGCTCACCAGCTTTCACAAGGGCACTTCCTAAAAAGGCAAATTTCCTCGATGGAGAAAAGCACGTCTGTGCCGTGCAGCTTTCTGTGCAAGTGAGCAGAAAGCTGCATAACAGTGCACTCGGCCAGGAAACCCTTCACAGCTTCAGGAGCACGTGCAGACATGAGGGGATTTGCAGAGCTCCGGCCCTCCGAGCCCGCAGCTCGCCTGCCCTCACTGCCGTGGCAGGGCAAGGCTGTGCAAAGCGCCT